TGCATACATGGCCAGGTACACACTTCGGCACATAGCTTTTAGCATAGAGCTCTACGTGTGTACATGGCCATGTATGCAGTATTTGCTGCATACATGGTCATGTACACACTATTTGCTGCATACATGATCATGTATGCAGTATTTGCTGCATACATGGTCATGTACACACTATTTGCTGCATACATGATCATGTATGCAGTATTTGCTGCATACATGTAGGTATTCAGTAAATAACGCATTCATGTACACACTTGGGTTTCCAGAGCGTCTGATGTGCGGACGAGCGCCTGTGGATCTCGCGATAGGCAGACCCGCAACGCTCGGAAGCGCGCCGGGCGTGCCGGGGCGGCAGGCTGCAGGCGTCCCGCTCCCACCGAGCGCCGTCCGTTCCGTAACTCAATAACACACAAGTGCCTCCAACTTTATTTTAAGCGTTAGCGTTATAACTTAACTCTTCAACGATTACCTTTGGGGCACTTAGTTGTTGATACGGTTCCTCTAATTTGTCCTTGAAATGTCCTAGAATGATTTGAGAAGGTTCATTGAACTTCATTTGAACTTTTGTTAGGACGAACGACCGTCAGTTACAAAACCTATCACAAAGTAACGAGGCATATGCCAACAAAGAAGACGACGACTTACGATAAACCGGCATGCAGAGCACCCGGTCTAGTGAACCCCTTCGTTATGAAAGCATTTATCAGCATTTGTTTCCTCCTAGCAGTACAGTTTATTACGACGCTGTTCATGCCATGTGGCAACACCCTGCCCACCTGCAGGGGCTCGCCGGCGGCCACACCCCAGGCTGCCACTGGACACCTTACCTCTCTAACCTCTCTCTCTCTCTGTTGCAGCCGGAGCTCTACCGGGAGGAAGCAGTGAAGAGGGGCTCGGCCGACAGCACGGGCGACATGGAGTGCTGTGGGAAGCTGCACTTCGCAATCCGATACGACAGCGAAATGGAGGCTCTCATTGTCAAGGTGAGCTCATTGTGCTGCCGTGTCCGCCCGTCCGTCTACTGTCCGTCTGGCTGTCCGTTTTCCATCCGTCCATTTCTCCGTCCGTAGCAGCCTGCCCTTCGTCCCCGTTTGTCTGCGCCCGACCGTTCTGTCTGGCCGCCCGTCCGTTTGGCCCTTCCATTCGGCGCGCACGAACCCACGAGTGGCCTCCCCCGCTGTCACTTCGCAGCTACACTTACGACGGCTAACTACGCTTGTAGAATAGCATTATAGCGAGTCGAGTTGGCTCGTTTATTTCGCACTCACTTTCGCGGCCAGTCGCCGAAGGCGCGGGAGGCGGACGGGCAGGAGCATCGGGGGAAAGGGAGGAGGTAGGGGAGGTTGAGGGGGTTGTGGCGGGGGATGAGCTCTTTGAAAACTTTTGGACGGGCTTGTTCACTTATTTACAGAGCGGCAGAGAGGGCGCTTTTAGTGGATACGGTTCTGTTTTAAACGCCTCCCTAAAACGGGAGTCCAGGCACCATGCCACCACAACAACCAACGCACCCTCTCTCTCCCTCGCACGCGTGTAGTCCTCGTGCTCTCACTTCCTCGCTTTCTCTCCTGTCTGCTCCCTCTCACTTCTCTCTCTCTCTCTCCATTTCCTTCCCTTATTGCCCTGCCCGCCCTAACCGCGCTGCTCCACTGCGCCCATTGTTGTGCTTGCCGCTGCCCATAGCTGCCCCCCCCCCCAATCCCTCCACCCACTTCGCCACTCCCTTACGTTTAGGGCAGGAGCGGGCGATGCTGCCGGAATACAAGCTTGGCGCTGTGGTCGGGTGGCTACGGGGGAGGGGGGTGAGGGGAGGGGGAGGGGGAGAAGCAGGGATCGGGGGGCGGAGAACGGAAACACGAGAAGGATTAATCAAAGGGCGGGGGTTGAAAGGAAACGCCAGGCGATCAGTCTCCGCGCGCGCGCGCGCCAAAATACGAAACGTGTTGAGAGGGGTGAGGTGGGCTGGGCGGCAGGGAGAAGTGGGCTGGAGGGTGTGAAGGTGAAGGTTGGAGGCGAGAGGGTTGTATCGGGAGAGAGAGAGAGCAGCCAGCAGCTGGAGCCGCCTGGAGAGCGGGACATAGGTGGGGGTGGGGGGGATAGGGCGGGGTGAAAGGTGAGAAGCTTGCAGAGGGCAGCTGCTGCTGATGAGGGCTGTCTAAAGAGTCGCTGGCGGCCCGGCGCGCCGCTTCGGCTCCAATTTCTGCCGCCTCGGCTGCCGCGCTGGCACAGCAGAGCGAGCAGGGCGAGCAGGGCGAGCAGGGCGAGCAGGGCGAGCAGGGCGCTCTGGGCTCTGCACACGCCGGCCGGGTGGTCCCCTTCCCGGTGGGCCATTGGATGATTGGGCCAGTTCCGCGAATTCGGTTCCATACCTGGAATGTGTTCGATTGTGCGTACGTGTGTTGCGCGTGCGCTGTTACGTGCGAAGGGCTGCGCGCGTGTCGGGGGCTCACGTGCGTGCGACGCCGCACAGCGCGCGCGCGCAAATAATGCGTAATTAATCGACCAAGCAACGAAACGCGCAGAATCTCTGTTAATTGCTCCTCCGCTATCAGGGCGGCAGTTAATACTCCCGGAGGCCTGGAGCCGCGCTGGAGTCGGAGCCGCGCCGGGGCTTAAGGTTGAGCAGCACGGCGCCGAGCCCCCCGCCTCGGCCCGCCACAGACACTGCGAGGAGTGTGCGGCGTTGGCGTTTTGGGGGCATTGAATTTCAACGAAACATTTCAGCAAACACAATTACTGAAAGTCACCCCCCCCTTCACTCTTTTTCTCGTTTCTCTGCACTCTTCTCCGCTTTCATCACCTGGACACAAGATGCCGATTCTAAAGAATCGCATATACGTCGCAAAATGACAGTTGCTCGTATGAAAAGTGCGTCCACTGAATCTGGATTTGTGATAAATTAACCCTCATTTCTGCCATAACTCGTTTTTTGAGATTCCTTCGATTTATCGCTTTTCTGGACATGATAATTTTTTATCGCAAAAAAACATGCAATAAGAAGTATAAGGGAAAGTTATCACAAAAAAAAATGTGATAATTTTTCATCGCAAGGTTCCGGATAAACGTAAATACTATCTCCCGTTATACACTAAACTTTGCGATGAAAAGTTATCATACTATTTTTTGCCCTAATACTTTTCATTGCATGTTCTTTTGCGATCAAAGTTATCATGTCTATAAAAGCGATAAATCAGAGGAATCGCAAAATTGAGTTATCGCAAACTATCGTGATAAAAGTATCACAGATCCAGTTTCAGTGTCGTGGGTTAGTTTTGTTTGTACTACTCGTGCACTTTTCCTGACTCAAAGAGGGAGGAAATGCAATTTTAGCAATTCAGCAAATCACATCTCTGTTTTCTGTACTGAAAGCAAAATAAGCACCCCCGATGAAAAACCACGTACAAATCCACTTGGGTTTCCGAAGTCTTTCCACGTGGATTTCTTAAGATTCCCAGTGGTAAATTTTTATATGGTAACTATGGTTACTTTCCATGTGGGGTTTTGCAAAAACCCACATAGTTATTTTCGAAACTTCTTCCAGTACCAGTAGAATGTAAAATAATAACAAGTTTAGTTTTTCTCACATGCGCGTGTACTACGCAATATATCCTTTATAGAAGTGTAGTCAAAATATGTGTACGTCACCCCAATTTAAAGTTACGGTATTGGTAATAGAAAACCCACGTAGGTAAAACGAAACCCTATGTGGAAATATAAGAAACACACGTGGATAAAACAAAAACCTATGTGGAAATATAAGAAACACACATGGTGTAAAGAAACCCTACGTTGTAAAGACGCTACATGGAGTATTCAAACATGGAGATTTAGTTATCCACGTAGGAAATACAAAATCCACGTAGAAGTATACCGAACCAACATGGAATTAAGGATGTACATCCCAGTAGCCTAACTTTTATGAGCACTTTGCAGCTCAGTGTATTTTGCACCGTCACGTTTACAACCATTTGAGTTACATAGTAAAAGTTATCACCTCTCTAATTTTCGAGCACCCAGCGAGCAAAGAGCAAATGATTGTTTTTGCAAGTGTTTCTATCTTAATTGGTGCCTGTCGTTCGCCTGCAGGTGCTGGAGGCGCGGGACCTGCCCATCAAGGACGTGACGGGCAGTAGCGACCCCTACGTCAAGGTGTACTTGCTGCCGGACCGCAAGAAGAAGTACCAGACCAAGGTTCACCGGCGCAACCTCAACCCCATCTTCAACGAGACCTTCATCTTCAGCGTGACGTACGAGGACCTCCGGCGCCGCTACCTGTCCTTCTCGGTCTACGACTTCGACCGCTTCTCCCGGCACGATCTCATCGGCCAGGTGGTCCTCAAGGGGCTGCTCGATGTGGCCGACCTCGCACAGGAGATCGAATACACCATGAACATCCTAAATACCAAGCAGGTAGGCCTCTGTCTCCTTTCCGCCCTTGGTCTCTGCTCTCCCCAAGTTTTACCCCTCCCCCTTTACTCCACTGAAGCGTGGTGGTCGCGCGCCAGTAGATCGGTTGAGACGCATGGCGTCTTTGCTAAGTAATTACTTGCCCCAGGGGAAAATACGGGCAGTGTGTGCCGTCGCACTGCAAACCCTCTCCCCCTTCACTCTTCTCTCTCTCTCCTTCCTTCGCACGTTCTATCCGTCGCGTTCTCACGCGGACCCGTCCTAACGCCACAAAGGGACAGTGCGACGTATCTCTGCGGCTTCATCAGGTGCGTGTGCCTGGAGCAGCAGAGTCTCCGGAACAATCCGGAGGGGTCGTTGAGGGTGGTGGTGCTGATGGTGATGGAGGGTGTCGATGTCGAGCACGAACAGACGGAGAACGGCGCCAGTGCGAATCATCTTTGCTGCGACCAAAAGTCGAACAAGACATGGTGGATCACTCCGCTGCTTGAACTCTTACCACGCGAAGGCCGCAAAGGTGATGCTGCACCTGCTGGCCACGATGTCATCCGCCCAGGCAACTTGGCTACGTGGGGACGAAGCACTAGCCCGGCACAACAAACACAATTTGTCTGTCACATGGTGTTCATGAACGTTTCAAAAATAATTTTTTGTGACGGTCTCTTTTACCTTTTGCCCGTGTCCAGTCGATGAGTATAGGCCAAACGCGCAAGTGTACGGGTCAGCGGGTCAGTCTGTCTGTCTCTATTTCTGTCCTCCGTTTGACGACTCGGCTCCACTCTCCAAGCGACTGTCACCATCGCGTCACCGTTCGAACCACCACTTTTTCTCTCGTTCTTTTTTTTTTCCTCTCATTTTTTTCTGCCGCATAAGCGGCGCGGGAAATGCTCGGGAGAAGAATGAGTGGGAGGAGGCCGACTTTAGGGGCATGGAGGGGGGGGGGGGGCTCTGCTCGACAGGACAGGTCACGGGCGTGCTGATCGTTCACCCCGCGTCACGCTGAAGGTCGGCGCGGTCCTTCGCGCGGCGGCCAGCGACACCTCAGGGCAGCGACGAACCATAGAGGCAGGGGGGACACAATAAGGTTTCGAATAACGCGCCTCTTGCTGTTTTTGAATGATTCGAACACGTTGTCGTGTCGCAGGATGCGGTGGACCTCGGGGAGCTGATGATGTCGCTCTGCTACCTGCCCACCGCTGGCCGCCTCACCGTCACCATCATCAAGGCCAGGAACCTCAAGGCCATGGACATCACCGGTTCGTCGGGTGAGTTGAGATGGACGGGCAGCAGGGACTCGGGCCGAGCGGCAGATTCTGCTCTTCCTTTGGAGCCTCCAGCGGCCTTTAGCAGACTCCAGCAAGGCCCTGCGCCACGAGCCTCCTCCCCTCGCTGGAATTAATTATTCCTTGAATCCCGGCTCCCTGCTCCTTTTCCTATCCTACTTGCACCTTCGTCCCGGCCCAGCCCTCCTGTGCCGGGCTCCACCTGTTGTCGCTTTTGTGGGATGGGCTCGGGATAGGTGGTATAGAGGGAAGGGTCCGTGGGACACAACTGCTTGCTCTAGCATTATGCGGTCAAAGAGATTGGAAGAGAGAAAATATATAGTGAGGGGAGGAGGGTTGGGCAGTGGAG